ACGGCCCCTGACCTCTTTCCCACCGAGTCCAGGTTGGTGGACCCACAGTCCATGACCCCGACTTTTCCAGCCAAGCGCATACAAGCCCAGGCTGGGCCGACCAGATGCTTCCCTCTTGGACGAGAACACTGAGCAGAGGGTCCAAGACACTAACGCCGTTTGCTGTCGTATCCCAGCCACCCAGGCTGTTTTGCTCTGGGAGTCCTGTCTCTGTCCCCGCCTTGGCTTCTGGCTGTTTCCAAGTCCTTTTCCCTGGCGTGCAGTCAATTCCACGAGCTGCTGCTGATGGCTTTTCATCGGAGTCCCCTTTCTCTTGGAACCCTAACTGTCCGAGCCGGCACTAGTGACTTACATAAGGAGTGTATATGAGGGCAGAGTTCCCTGGGATCTGGGAGACCGTGGGATGGGCTAGAGACACCCTTCCAGTGTCGCGCGTAGCGCGGGGCCATACTCCAGTTTGGAAGAAGATGTGGAGAGAAGGCAGGGCCAGCCTGAAACCGAGGTTTCTCAATGGGAAAGGGAGGGCTACCACTGTGAGCCAGGAACCCTGGACATGACTTTGGACATGGAGAAGTCAAATGTATACTTTCTTGGGTTTATCTGTCATTCTGTTTTTATGGTTTGCTTTAAAAAAAAAAAAAAAGTGCTTCAGTAAACTTCTTTTGACTATTTCGAATGCTCTTGGGGAATGACAGGGAAGAGAGGTCTGTGTATTCAGAGGCCAGCACACCTGAAGACGTCATCGGGAATGCTGGTGGGGCCCTGCGCACAAGAAGAGAGCAGGGCTTCTGCGGGCTTACCTGGCAGAGCATTGGTAGTAGGTGGTCTGAATTGGGTGGGAAGGGGCAGGGCAGGAAGAATAGAGTGGGAGACGTGGCTTTGAGAGGTCCTTCCTTGCAAAGGCTGAGGAAGGCTGAGTCCAGGGGAGAAGCCCTGGGAACACAGAGGGGCAGAGTCCCCGGGGTGTGATGCCATGGGACATGTGTAATACACGTAGGTAGCTGTCATGTGTATGTAACTAATAGAGCTGTAGGCACAAGGAAAGAGGGACGAATGGGTTATGACAACTTGAAACATCAGCTCCTAAAAGAATGGGGACAGAACGTAACAACCTGGTCCCTGGCTGGGGAGAGGAAGATCGTAAACTGAGTGTAGTTGGATACTGTGAAAATATGTCAGGAATTGTTAATTTTGTTGGCTGAGCCACGTTGCTGTAGTTCTGTTAACGAAAGTCTGTCTAATGAATATCGTATGCATTAAAGTCTGGCCTTAAAATATTCCAGCAAAGGGCGCCTGGGTGGCTCAGTCAGTTAAGCATCTGACTTCAGCTCAGGTCATGATCTCACGGTTCACGGGTTCAAACCCCGTGTCGGGCTCTGTGCCGACAGCTCGGAGCCTGGAGCCCGCTTCGGATGCTGTGTCTCCCCCCTCTCTCTCTGCCCCTCCCCGGCTCGTGCTCTGTCTCGAAAATAAATAAACATTAAAAAAATGTTTTTAAACACTTAAGCAAAGAAACAAGCAGGGAGTTGGTGAGAATAAGTGGAGCAGACCTCTGGGCCTTAGTTCCTTAACTGGTACCATCAGCCAAAACCCAGGGAGTGACCCCAGACCCCTCTCTCTGTCCAGCTGGTTTCCAAGCCCTGCCTGTCCTGAAAATCCCCCACGTTTCCTCCTGAGACTGCCTGTGTTTGGCCCTTACCACATCTCGTCTGAAAGACTGCCGTATTTTCCCTTTGTTTACTTGCCCCTCACCTTGCTGCCCTCGGGCCTGTCTCCCTCATTGAAACCGAGGTTGTGGGTGGAAGAAAGAGGTGGGCCCGCCAAGTGGGTATACCGCCAGGTCTGCAGGTGACAGCGTGGCAGGCTTACAATGTGCAGCGTCACACGGTAGAGAAAGCCCATGTCCGCCCGAGTGTGAGGCCCATGCTGCCCTCTGGCCAGATGGTTTTTCAAGTCATTCTAGGCAGAAGGATCCGGCCTGCCAGCAATTTAATAAGCACCCGTGGACTTGAGGCGCCACGTACTTTTGGTATAGCCCGTTATTCAAGTAGCTCCGTTAATACTGCAGACAGGCACGGATTTGTAGAAAGGACAAGTACACACTCTTGTGCTCATTATTAATAGATCCAGTCTTTCAGAAAGCAGCCCAGACACATGTGAGTTTCGAAACAATGTATATTCTTTTATTGGATATTCCTACCTTTGAGATGTGGTTCTGTAACAAATTGTAATACCCGTGCATGTTCACAACGGAATCTTGGATTCCCATTCCCCCATCCGGACCTTCTCTTCCATGTTGGCCGAAGGCAATTTATTAATCCTTGGGTTTCTCGCTCATAATCCCACAGTATTGTCCGTACTTTCAAAACACACCCTGCATCTGACTGTTTCTCACCACCCTGCACACCTCTGGTTCTGGCTTTCAGCTTCTCGTGCCTGTGTTACTCCAGTAACCATTTTTGCCATATAGATAACACATATCTTTTTCTTAAAGATTGTATTTTTAACTAATCTCTACACCCAACATGGGGCTTGAACTTGCAACGCCGAGATCAAAAGCCCATGCTCTACTAACCGAGCCAGCCAGCACAGCCCCTTTGCCTGCTTATATTTGATTTATTTTCACCATGGCAGCCAGTTGGGTTCTTTAAAATATAAACCGTATTGATTTTTTTCTCTGCATAAAACTTTCCAGTCATTCCTTCTCACTTGGAGGACAAACTTCACTTCTTGTAGCAGCCGCCATGGCTTCACATTACTCATCTTTGTCTGGCTTCACCTTCTCTCCCCTGCAGTAGTGCCTAAGCCAGGCCAGGCCCAGGCCTGCCTCAGGGCCTTTGCACTTGCTGTCCCCTTTGTTTGAAATTCTTCCCTAGATAAGCATGTGGCTTGCTTCCTTAGCTCCCTCTGGTTTCTACTCAGACATTATCAGCAAAACCTCCCCCGGACAACTGAAGTATAAAACACCCCAGGGGCTCCTGGGTGGCTCAGTGGGTTAAGCTCAGGTCATGATCTCACAGTTCGTGGGTTTGAGCCCCACGTCAAGCTCTGTGCTGACAGCTCGGAGCCTGGATCCTGCTTCGGATTCTGTGTCTCCCTCTCTCTCTATCCCTCCCCAAGGAGTGCTCTGTCTCTCTCTGTCTCTCAGAAATAAATTAATGTAAAAAAAAAAAATTAAGAAAAAAATTAAAACACCCCATCGCCTTCCTACTCTCTGAGTTCTCCTCCCTCCTCCCAGCCTCGTATCTCGAAGGAGAGATTTAGGGAGTGTACATCTTTTGGCAAACAGTTCCACTTCTCATGATAATCTCATGATCAGAAACAGTCCCAAGGACATTGCTTGAATGAGTGTCTTTATACTTTTATTAAGCAACGCACTATGTAGGTAGCCTTTTCCAAGTCAGATACCTCATCCTGGGGTCTTAAATCTGCACTAACCTGTGCAGCGGCCTTTGTCGGGAAGGCACCCTCAAGTCAGTCAGTTATGCCAACTCAGATTATGTGGATCTGGATCACCAGTTTCTCTCTCTCTCTCTCTCTTAATGTTTGTTTATTTTGAGAGAGCGCATGCATACAAGTGAGAGTGAGTGGAAGAGGGGCACAGAGAGAGAGAATCCCAAGCAGGCTCTTTGCTGTTAGCATGGAGCCCGATGCAGGGCTCAAACCCACAAACCATGAGGCCGTGACGTGAGCTGAACGAAATCAGGAGTCGGATGCCTAACCGACTGAGCCACCCACGTGCCCCGAGAAACTGATTTTTTTTTAATATTATTCAATTTTAATATGGATTTAAATTTAATTTTAACCCACGTGCCTAGTGGCTCCTGTTTTGGGCAGCACAAGACCCACCGCGACAGCAGGAAGCGTGGTTAGAAATCTCTACCACAGAAAGTTCAGTAGCAGGAAACTGGAATTACTGTATAGTCACAGGATGGAAAATAATTACAGTATGAGCAAACATTTATTTGTTGGGTGCTTTCTTTAAGCCAGGCGGTGTCTCAAGCACTTGACCTGCCAGAACTCCTTGGATTCTTGCTGAACATAGTAGTGGAAAGAAATACGCCATAGCCTTCCGCCAACAGGGGTGAATGAATCCTAGAAGCACAAGGCTGAGGGGAAAAGCAAGTCACAAAAGTTGCCTACCATGTGATAGCATTTTTCAAACCTTAAAAACAAGCAAAATGAAACACTGTTCGTGGGTATACAGATACATGGTAAAGCCATTAAAAGGCAAGAGAATTCAGGCTACGATGCTTTTTGTGGAGAGAAGATGCCCCAATGAGCCGACTCTGTCCCCTCCTGACCTCCTGGCCTCTGCACATTGTCACAACTCGTCTGCAGCCGCCCTGGGGTGAGCAGGCACCACTTGTGTGGACTTGTTAGGACAGCGTTTTCACTAGAAGCCGTGATCATTGTGGTGTCACCAAAGCTAGCAATGAATCTGGTTTCAGTTCGCGGTGAAGCACGTGTTTGGTTACAGGAGGGGGTGGCTTACGTTAGTTGCCTTGGTCGGGTTCCTTAAGCCCTTGTTATTTAGCCAAACCCTTTGCTCCAAATGTTTGTTTTTTGTTTCCTCTTGTCTCATGCTGAGTTGAGTGTTACCAGAATCGAGCCGCAAGAACTTAGTTTGAAAATGAAAAATCTGAAAATTGTAAAATAACAAATATGTTTACTTATGAACCATTATCGTGAAAGTGTTGGTTAGAAGAAAAGTCCAAACGACACTTGAGGGCGTTACGAATCAATCTTTGTAGCAGATTTCATCTATAGGTCGGGGTAATTTCAAAATTACATAGCGGTTTGTGGTAAGTTGCGTTCAGAGACATTCTGCTGCCGAGGGTCCGGTTTTGCTGTTGGGAGTCTACGAGTGGCCCGGAGCTGATGGTTGAATTTATGTCAAGCTTTTCTGTGTAATATGTGCATCTTTGACTTTTTTCCTTATTGTTCCGTCTTTATTCTTTCCTGCATTACTGACATGGGTTTATCTTTTCTCCCTTTAGAGAGTTTTGAGGTGACAGTCACCAAAGAAGGTGATAAAGGGTTCTTTCTATCCCTCCTATGAATATTAACCCACTAACTTTGTTTATAAAATTGGGAATCAGCCCTTAAACAGAAGAAACTGTCATGCTATTTTACCCTGATTTATTCTCCTACTTTGTTTCTATTTTTAAATATATTGATGGAAATTGTATGTAACCAAACCCTTGGTTAGAAATATCTAGAAATCAGACATCCATTTGAACTGTACGGATAATACTGTACATTTGTTTCTTAATTGAACTTGAGAGATTCACTTTGTAACCATTTTCTAAGAGTTGTAATTTTGGAAGAGTGCAGCCTTATTTTTACATGAAATACATTTTTTTTTTTAACATCTACGTATACATCAAAAGACTTAATGTTCTCCCACCGACAAGAATGGAAACCTAGATTTCACCCCTCATTAAGCTTGTGAGCCAACTTCCAGGTGCTGATGTCCTGACGTCCCCAGGCAGGCTTGTTTCGCAGGTCTGATAGGCTAGCTTTGGAAACCAAGGCAAGTCTGGCAAATCCCTCCCTGTGATGGAACCGATCTTCATAGTAAACCATAGCTGTTGAAATGGATGCCTGAAAAGTTGGTATTTCTACCTTTCTCATTTAGTAGTTTGTTTTGATTCCCTAATTTTAGCCAGGCTCATTGCACAGGAAGACTTGTTTCTTTTGACTTTTTTTTTTTTTTTTGACAGACTTTCTGTAATTACGGTGCTGAACCTTTTATGTTACCCTCCTTCCTCTCTCAACACTTAACTGCATTTTAGCCTTCTCTCTGGTCCAAACCAAAATCGCTGCCCGGCTGTCCCCAGTAGCTGGGGACAGTTTCTCTGCGTTACCAGGCCATGGCTGTTTGCTAACGAGACCACTTTTACCCTGGAGCCATCCTAAGTACTCCTGTGAAATGCCTGTCTATGTTTTCTCTTTTTCTCTTTTGTATTCCTGCATGAATGGATGCAAAGTTAAGCAAGTTGCTTGGAAAGCGAGAACATGCTTCTTTTTACTAAAGCCCCAGAACTTATCCCTGTCCAAGCACAGTGCCCTTGCTTTGTCCACAGACCCTCTAAACCCCTGGCTGCCGAACTGTTGTCATTTCTTTTCTGGGGGGGGGGGGGTACGGGAAGGGGGAGGGGAGCACGCAGACTCCGGGCGGCAGAAATTCTAACCTGCGCTGCTTTGACTCCCTAGGTGAGATTTGTGGATTTAAAATTCATGGGCAGAATGTCCCCTTTGATGCAGTGGTAGTGGATAAGTCCACTGGCGAGGGAATAATTCGCTCAAAAGAGAAACTGGACTGTGAACTACAGAAAGACTACACATTCACCATCCAGGCCTATGACTGCGGCCAGGGGCCGGATGGCGCCAACGCGAAAAAGTCTCATAAGTAAGTAAGCTGATCAGAGAGAGCGCGTGCGAAGAAAGCAGTACTGACCCTTGCTTTCTTTCTGTGTCCCCGAGACTTTCTGTGTTCTTAGAGATGAGGCAGAAGGTATTTCTGGCTCTCCACTGAAATTGTAAGCTCCTTGAGGATAGGAATCCTGTCTGTTTATTACCCTGCAGCATTAGTTGTCGAATAAGCAAATGAATGGGCAGTTTTATCCCACCCAGCACTCTAATGACAGAAACTAGAGCTCTACACTGAAAATTGGGAAAGCCCATTTTTTCTTCCAGGAGGATATTTTGTTGTTAGGTTTCTTTTTCCTGCAAATTCAAAGGGCAGGGCATTCGTTCACGCTGGTGGGAGCGGGCTGACTTTGGCGCCCCATCCTGGACGTGTTCATATCCATATCCTTTGAGAACTGCTCGTGGAACAGACAGGACTCTGAACTAGACCTGGATTTAGAATTCCAGTCTTTTCTCCGCCACTTTCTGTCCCTTCGGCATGGGGCAAGTTTCGTCTTGTTGAGTCTCGGTTTCTACTTGGCTCCTGGGCTAGGGAGAGAGGGGCACGCTGCCACGAGACCCATCGTGAGGGTCAGGAGGATGCGCGGCGTTGGGTGTGGAGGGTCTTGGTGCACACTGGGGGTGCTGAGTGCCAGAGAACTACTCCTCATCCTTTTCACACCGTGCAATATTACTGTTGTCCTTGAAAAAGCCTTCTGTGGGTCAGAGATCCTGTCTGAGTCAGAAACACGCCCGGATCAATAGCCCTGAGACTGACCCTTTCCTCTCTTTGTAGCCAAGTCTGTGGTGCCTCAGTTTTCTCATGCCCAAGACGGGGAGGTGGAAGGGCAGCACGGGGTCAGCCAGGGAGGGAGCACTGAGGTCGCTTGGAGGACCTTCGTTTGTTGGATCAGTTAGTGGGTCATGGGCAACAGTGGGCTGCGAGCCGTCTCCATTCCCTAGAAGCAGGACGGGATTGGTTTCCATGCTCCTGATCAGACTCCCCATCCACGTTTCCCATCTTCTGTGTCTTACTCCTTCCTCCTTTGGGTCTAATTTTGTCTGATCTAGTTTATCTCCCTTCTGCATGCCCTGTCCCGTATTGTCAAGAAAACCCCAAGTCTCCAAGTCTCTTATTTTACTGCCTTTTTTTTTTTTTTTTTTTTTTTTTTTTTTTTTTTTTTTTTTACCAGCCGTCTTACTCCTAGGACCTGGAAGAATCAACTTAAATTCCTATTTTAGCTTTCTGAAGTCCTCTCCATGCTAAAATAACAACAGTGACTAGTGTAATTTTTTTCTCCATCATACAAACTTCATGAAATAAGATATTAGCAAAAGGAAACATAAAAGCGGGGCAGAACTGGTGTACTTTGGGTTAAAAAAAACAAACCGAACACACAGCTTTTTTTCTTCTTCTTCCAGAGCAACTGTCCATATTCAGGTGAACGATGTGAACGAATATGCACCTGTGTTCAAGGAGAAGTCCTACAAAGCGACCGTCATCGAGGGGAAGCAGTATGACAGCATCCTGAGGGTGGAGGCCGTGGACGCTGACTGCTCCCCCCAGTTCAGCCAGATATGCAGCTATGAAGTCGTCACTCCAGATGTGCCGTTTGCTATCGACAAAGATGGTGAGTCAGAGGAACAGGCCTTCCTCACCAAGGTGACGGTCCATTGGCAGTTCTGCACGTCGGCGAAACTCAGATTGGAGACCGGCTTCATCCATCCCTTTAGGATGCTGTAACAAAGTACCATGAGCTGGGGGCTCAAACAGTAAACAGTTTGCGCTGTTCCAGAGGCTGGGAGACCGGGATCAAGGTGCTGGCAGATTCAGTGTCTGATGAGGACCCGAGTCCCGGTTCCCAGGTGGCCATCTTCTCTCTGCGTCCTCACATAGCGGGGAGAGAGCCCTCTGCGATCCCGGTATGGGGGCCCCACACTCACGACTTCATCTAACCCTCAGTTCCTCCCCTAGGCACCACCTCCTGATATCACATTGGGGGTTAGGACTTCAGCATTCAGATTTGGAGGGGACAAGTATTCATTTCATAGCAGAGACCTAATGGTGTATGAGTTTCAGATAAATATTTTTTCACTCTGTCCCCTGAAAGCCTTTTTGTTGGCACCTGAAGTCATGGGTTCTTTTTTTGGGTGCCCTATTTTTGCTTCTTCCACCAAGGTCTAATAAAAAACCCCCCACCTAACATGTTTTTAATCTGTACCTTCTCACTTCTCTATCAAAGTGCATCTGAAAAGACTGACCTTTAGTTGGTCTGTCTTCTGCTCTCCATTAGATTTGGATCTTCTGTCTCATCTTGAAGACAAAGGTTTCTGCCTTACTGCCAGGTGCTCCAGTCCTTTGTAATTGAGCAGAATGAACTCATGCTGGAGCTCAGCTTTTTTTTATTAGGTTATGGCCTCTTGATGGTGATGCAGTGTCTCTGTTGTTAATGCACAGTCCAGAATCTTTGATGAAATTACGGACATTGCAAACACTTTGCAGACGTCTGTACCCATATTCAGAAGCAGGCTTCTGTTCTAGTAGGTGGGGGTAGGGAATCTCTGTCTCTTCCTGTCTCTGTGACACACACACACACACACACACACACACACACACACACACACACAGTAAATCTTTGAGCAAGAAATATTTAATGAAGCTTCATCTAGTATTTAGTATTTGAAGTACTGGAATTACTTTTCTTTATTCTCTCATATGTTAACTACTTAATCTTAAAGCACATATAAAACCAAAGAAGAAAAACTGTAAGAATAAATGGAGGTTGAATTGTATAGATTCATTCCTTCTGTTTCAACAGCCCTTAAAGATGGATTTAGTGTGCGTTCAAGTGCAGGAAAGCAAGACCGAGCATTAATTATCTCGAGCATCACTTTGATTTCCGTGTCCGTGTTTATAACACTTAGAACACATGTACTTTGTTTTTTGTGTTTTTATTTAAAAAAAATATTTTAATGTTTATTTATTTTTGAGAGAGAGAGAGAGACAGACTGTGACTGGGGAAGGGGCAGAGAGAGAGGGAGACACAGAATCGCAAGCAGGCTCCAGGCTCTGAGCTTTCAGCACAGAGCCCGATGCGGGGCTCGAACTCATGAACCATGAGATCATGACCTGAGCCAAAGTCGGATGCTTAACTGACTGAGCCACCCAGGTGCCCCTGAGCAGGTGTGCTTTGTGTTTCCGGACAACTTCGCCTTCTCACTGTTGTTTGTTTCCCCTCTGGAAGGTTACATAAAAAACACAGAGAAGCTAAACTATGGGAAAGAACACCAGTACAAGCTGACCATCACCGCCTACGATTGCGGGAAGAGAAGGGCAGCGGAAGACGTCTTGGTGAAGGTCAGCGTCAAGCCCACCTGCACCCCCGGGTGGCAAGGTGAGCTTCATTCTCCTTTTTGCTCTCACACCTGTTCTGACACGTCACATACCAGAGGGCCCTAAAGTGTGAGTCTTCCTCCTTCCTTCCCTCCTTCCGTCCCTCCTTCCCTCCTTCCCTCCTTCCCTCCTTCCCGGATTTGTGGACCCACACAGGATGGAACAAGAGGATCGAATATGAGCCTGGCACGGGCTCTTTGGCCCTCTTCCCAAATGTCCACCTGGAGACGTGCGACGAACCCGTGGCCTCAGTGCAGGCAACGGTAGAGCTGGAGACCGGCCACATCGGGAAAGGCTGTGACCGTGACACCTACTCTGAGCAGTCTCTTCACCGGCTGTGTGGTAAGGGGGCCTGGTGGTCTTCGGTGAGGGCGAGAGACACCCTTTCAGATGGAAGAGAGTGCGTGTGTTGGCGGGGGTGGGGGGGGGTTGTTTATAACCCTAAACCGGAACAGACCCTGACTTTCTGACACGGCTGTTACTGCCTTGGCTAATTGTCATGCTGGATGGGCTTCAGGAGGTACATAAACCCCTTACAGCCTGTTCAGAGTGTTACATGCGTGTGCATTTTAGGAGCCGGTGATGCGAGGAAAGTGTTTCTCTAACATACGTTGAGGATAATCAAAAGAGAGGGATTGTGTAAGTGGAGTGAGTTTGAAATGAGCGAAATGCTCAGTGGATGTCCTTGCGCCTAAGAACTGAAGAAAAAAATACAGATAAAGCAATAGCTTTCGGCAAATGTGAAGTAGAAAGCCGAAACTACGGACACTCACGTCTAATTCTGAGTCTCAGCAGATTGTTTACCACAAACATTAGGTGAGATCCAGAGACCCCGTGGTTACGAATCCCATCAAAGCCTTGCCCTCCGTCTTCACATAGTTGTGGGTATTTTTCTGGTTTATCTGAATGAGGTAGAGGTGAGGTATGGATGCCTGTCGTGGAAAATGCCGAGGAAGAGTGTGCCGCTTGGCCAGCAACGAAACCCCCGTAACTGAAATGAGCTGTCCGTGCTCAGAGGGTATTTTGTGCCTCAGGAGCTACTTGGTGTCAGCTCTGCAGGCGGCGTTTTCCCATGTCCCCGTCTTTCCACCGGCCTGAGACAGCCTGTAGGATTGAGCACCTAGATTTCTTACATAACTGGAATATGCAAAACGAAAGAGTTTATCCTCTGCTGGCTTATCTTAATGGTTAATATTCTCCGTGTTGCCTGACTCTGGGTCCAAATAGTCACGTACTGAAATCTACATGGAAGGAGGTCTGGGACATATTTTCAACTATGTACATTTAAGTGTAATGTTTAAAATTTATTTTCTCTCTCCAGTGCCATGATTTTTTATGGCATTAAGTGAACATTTTATCAGCAGAACAGTTTACAGTTAGGAAGGAAGAATGGAAAGAATTTCCCCCATGAGTGCTTCCTGCACATTCTACATTTCTGTATGTTTCCTTCATTCAGTGTGCCCATCAGGCCCACCAAGGAGGTGGTGTTGACCTCATTTTTACTGAGGAATTCAGTTGGGAGAGGAGGGGGAGAAGTTCACACTTTTAGGAAGAAAGGGGCAGGCACTGGCATTTGACCGAGGTCGTATGTGAGGTCATGCTGCTCCTAGGAACAGAGGACCAGGTGACGGGGAGAGCTCCCAAAGTCATCTTCCTTGGACACATTTAAAAGAAAAATGAGCTTGGCAGTGTGTAACGACAGCTGGAGATTTTTTTCATATTCTTTGGTTCACTGATTCCATTTCTAGGAATTGATGCTAAGGGAATAATCGTGGATCACACGGAGGTCCTCGTGAAGGCAGGGTTTGTCACAGAAAAGAGTGGGGACAGTCTCAGTGTTTGCCAAGGAGATCAGTTAAATAAGTCACAGTATATCGGTGCAGTGAAATGCTCAGACATTTAAAAATATGCTATAGAAAAATATTAATGGGAATGTGTGTACCTTTATACATCGTAGGACTCTATTTTTTATAATGTGTATATTCGTAGAGAAAAGACTGGAAGTGTTTGCACCCAGATGTTAATAGTGGATATATTTGGGAGGTGCCTGGATGCCTCAGTTGGTTGAGCATCCTACTCTTGATGTCTGTTCAGGTCTCGATCTCAGGGTTGTGAGTTCAAGCCCCATGTTGGGCTCCACGCTGGGTACAAAGCCAACTTAAAAAAAATTTTTTTTTAAATAGTGGATATATTTGGGTGGGATTACAAGTAATGCTTTCTTCCTTTTATCCTTTCTTTAAAGTTTTTTTTTTTTTTTTTCGAGGCAGAGAGAACAAGAGGGGGAAGGGCAGAGAGAGGGAGAGAGAGAATTCCAAGCAGGCCAATGCTCTCCGTGCAGAGCCCAGTGCAGGGCTCGATCTCATGAACCATGGGATCATGACCTGAACTGAAATCAAGAGCTGGATGCTCAACCAACTGAGCCACGCAGGCATGCCCTTTTTTCCTTTAAGCAAAAATATCCACAGTTATTATTTATGATTAAAAAAATATAAAAACCCTTATTTTTACGGAACATAAGCAGTAGCTAGCAAATTGTATCACCGGAAGATAGGATGTTGCCCTTAGTGTGGCCTCGAGACTCTTCTACCTTCCGAGTCCTTCACGTTGTGCGTATTAAGTGTTACCGTGTCGGCTTAGGCGCTGCGTCTGGCACCACCGAGCTGCTCCCGTCCCCAAGTGGGTCCTTGAACTGGACTGTCGGCCTCCCCACTGACAACGGCCACGACAGTGACCAGGTCTTCGAGTTCAACGGCACCCAAGCAGTGAGGATCCCAGATGGTGTCGTTTCTGTCAACCCGAAAGAACCTTTTATGATTTCTGTGTGGATGAGGCATGGGCCTTTTGGCAGGAAGAAGGAGACCATTCTCTGTAGTTCAGACAAAACAGGTAGGTTAATCTTGCAGTCAGGGCGTCGTATTTGAGTGGCTGCCGCGTTGGTCGCTGGAAGCAAGACCCCTTATTCTTCCCCGAAAGGCTCCTGGTGACACACATTTTTCTGTGTTCTGTGCTAGGGCTCTCCGTCCTCAAGATACTGTACTGCCGTTTGGTGGTTAGTTTTACTCTGTGAGTTGGGCCCCACTTCTCAGTAAAACCCAAGTGTATCTGTTTCCAAACCCTGCCTTGGCCCGACTGGAGAGTTCATTTATGCGGATAAATGATAGAACCGTGTCTTCAAAATCCATTAAGGAAATAGCTTTTATTTCTCCTTTGGGTATTAAGTTGGCAGCTTACCAGGAGGATTTCTCTCGGCAGACATGAACCGGCACCATTATTCACTCTACGTCCACGGCTGCCGCCTCACTTTCCTCCTCCGTCAGGATCCTTCAGAAGAGAAGAAATACAAACCTGCAGAATTCCACTGGAAATTGAATCAGGTGAGTGCCTGGAAAACTCACGGGTTTATGACCTTTCAGAGAGTATAACTAGGTATTGCAGCTTCATACAGGGCCAGCTATTATTTATGGGCAGTGTATATTTATATTTATGAATAAATATAAAAATATAAAAAAATTTTTGCAATGTATGTAGACACTTTGGGCACAGTTCTGTTACAGTAACTATAGTCTTTTTTCTTTTTCTTTTTTTATTTTTTAAACATTTATATTTGAGACAGAGAGAGACAGAGCATGAACGGGGGAGGGTCACAGTGAGAGGGAGACACAGAATCCGAAATAGGCTCCAGGCTCTGAGCTGTCAGCACAGAGCCTGACACGGGGTTTGAACTCACGGACCGCGAGATCATGACCTGAGCCGAAGTCGGACGCTTAACCGATTGAGCCACCCAGGCACCCCGAGTACCTATAGTCTTAATGTACATATTTAGTTTCTTCTGATGACGTTTAAAAACAACCTTATTATATTACTTGTGGGTTATAGGATAGCAAATAAATCCTTCGAACTCCTTTCCTCTGAAAGCCTACGTTTTTCATTTTATACGTATTTGACACATCCAGTATTAATATAAAGAAATTATATGCTTTAAATTCAAAATACTGTGTTGTAGTTTATTGAAATTTGCAGCACTTGATGAAAAATTGGGATTGAGACCCTTGTATTTGTTTACTCATTATTTAAAGCCTTGCCTCCCAAATTGTGCCAAGGAGCCCCCGGGTTGCTTCAGCAGATTTAGGGGTGCCGTGGGATATTTTAGACTGCCAGAGAGCCAGCAATCTTGACATCTTTCAGAAACCACACAAACTACTAGCTTGAGGGAATTTACAGTGTCACCATTAGGTCACGTTACATCCCTTTTGATGATAGCATATCTTTTGCAAAGCTGCTTTCCCAATAGTTTCTGTGATAAAAAGCAAGTATCACGTGAAAAACAATTGGTGCATTTCAGGAAACAAGGGGGCGCTGTAAACTGAGGAAACCTTTCCTTTAAAATCACAGCAGATCGTTTCTTTTCTTTTTTTATATTAGAAAGCAAGAGAGCGGGTGCACAAGGGGCGGAGGGAGAGGGAGAGAATCTTTTTTTTTTTTTAATTCACATTAGTTAACATATAATGTAATAATGGTTTCAGGAGTAGGATTTAGTGATCCGTCACTTACATAGAACACCAGTGCTCATCCCAACAAGTGCCCTCCGTAATGCCCATCGCCCCACCCTCCTCCCCTCCAGCAACCCTCAGTTTGTTCTCTGTCTTTAAGTCTCTTATGGTTTGACTCCCTCTCTGTTTTTATCTTACTTTTCCTTCCTTTCCCCTATGTTCATCTGTCCTGTTCTTTAAATTCCAAATACGAGTGAAATCCTATGATACTTGTCTTTCTCTGACTTCTTTCACATAACTGACTTTCTCTGACTTCTTTCTTTTTGATTGCTGAGTGATATTCCATTGTGTATATAAACCACCTTTCTTCATCCATTCATCGGTTGAGGGACATTTGGGCTCTCTCCATAATTTGCCTATTGTTGATAGTGCTGCTATAAACATTGGGATGCATGTGTACCTTTGAATCAGTGTTTTTGTATCCTTTGGATAAATACCCAGTAGTGGCAATTGCTGGGTCGTAGGGTAATTCTATTTTTAATTTTTGGGGGAACCTCCGTACTGTTTTCCAGAGTGGCGGCCCCAGTTTGCGTTCCCGCCAACAGTGCAAAAGTGTTCTCTTTTCTCCACATCCTCGTCAACATCTTTCCTGAGTTGTTAATTTTAGCCATTCTTACAGGTGTGAGGTGGTATCTCATTATGGTTTTGATTTGTATTTCCCTGGTGATGAGTGATGTTGAGCATCTTTTCATGTGTGTATTAACTATTTGGGTGTCTTCTTTGGAAAAGTGTCTTTTCATGTTTTCTGCCCATTTCTTCAATGGATTATTTGTTTTTTGGGTGTTGAGTTTGATAAGTTCTTTATAGATTTTAGATAGTAGCCCTTTATCTGATATGTCATTTGCAAAGATCTTCCCTCATTCTGTAGGTTGTGTCACTCAGGTTTGTTGTTTCCTTCACTGTGCAGCTTTTTATCTTGATGAGGTCCCAGTAGTTCATTTTTGCTTTTGTTTCCCTTGCTTCTAGAGACATGTCTAGTAAGAAGTTGCTGTGGCCTAGGTCAAAGAGGTTGCTGCCTATTTCTTTTTAAACTTTAAAAAAAAGTGTTTATTTATTTATTTTGAGACAGAGAAAACAGGTGGGTGGGAGAGGGGCAGAAGGGGAGAGAGAGAGAGAGAAAGAGAAAGAGAACCCCAAGCAGACTCTGTTCCAGCAGCACAGAGCCTGACATGGGGCTCAATCTCATGAATCTAGAGATCGTGACCTGAGGCAAAACCAAGAGTTAGATGCTTAACCCACCGAGCCACCCAGCCCTCCTCCCAAATTTTTTTAACTTTTTTTTTTTTTAAATGTTTACTCCTCTAGGATTTTGATGGTTTCCTATCTTACATTTAGGTCTTTGATCCATTTTGAGTTTATTTCTGTGTATGGTGTAAGGAAGTGGTCCAGGTTCATTCTTCTGCATGTCGCTGTCCAGTTTTCCCAACACCATTTGCTGAAGAGACTGTCTTTATTCCATTGGATATTCTCTCCTGCTTTATTGAAAATTAGTTGGCCATACATTTGTGGATCCATGTCTGGGTTCTCTAGTCTATTCCACTGATCTCTGTTTTTGTGCCAGTACCATACTCTCTTAATTACAGCTTTGTAATGTAGTTTAAAGTCTGGAATTGTGATGCCTCCAGTTTCGGGTTTTTTTTTCAACATTACTTGGGCTATTCAGGGTCTTTTCTGGTTCCATACAAATTTTAGGATTCTTTGTTCTAGCTCTGTGAAGAATGCTGGTATTATTTTGATAGGGATTGTACCGAATGTATAGATTGCTTTGGGTAGTATAGACATCTTAAGAACATTTGTTCTTCTAATCCATGAGCATGGATTGTTTTCCCATTTCTTTGTATCTTCGCCAGTTTGTTTCATAAGCATTCTGTAGTTGTTTTTTGCTTTTTTCTTTTAGAGAGGGAGCGTGAGCAGGGGAGAGGGGCAGAGGGAGAGAGAGAATCTTTTATCTATCTATCTATTTATTTTTTAGACACACACACACACACACACACACACACACACACACACACAGAATCCGAAGAAGGCTCCAATCTCTGAACTGTCAACACAGAGCCCGATGTGGGGCTCAAACTCACAAACCATGAGATCATGACCCGTGCCGAAGTCGGACATTTAACCGACTGAGCCACCCAGGCACCCCAGCCTTTTATAGTTTTTAGAGTACAGATCTTTTATCTCTTTGGTTAGGTTTATTCCTAAGTATCTTACGGTTTTTTGTGCAGTTGTAAATGGGCTTGATTCCTTGATTTCTCTTTCTGCTGCTTCATTTATTGGTGTATAGAAATGCAACAGATTTCTGTATGTTGATTTTATATCCTGCGACTTTGCCAAATTCATGCATCGGTTCTACCGGGTTTTTTTGCAAGGGTGGGGTATCTTTCGGGTTTTCTACGTAGAGTATCATGTTGTTTGTGAAGAATGAAAGTTTGACTTCTTCCTTGCCAGTTGGGATGCCTTTTATTTCTTTGTGTTGTCTGATTGCTGAGGCCAGGACTCCCAGTATTGTGTTGAACAACAGTGGTGACAGCGGCCATCCCTGTCCTGTTCCTGACCTTAGGAGGAAAGCTCTCAGTTTTTCCCCATTGAGGAGGATATTAGCTGTGGGTCTTCTGTGTATGGCCTTTATGATATTGAGGTATGTTACTTCTATCCCTACTTCCTTGAGGGTTTTTATCAAGAAAGGATGCTGTATTTTGTCAAATGCATTTTCTGCATCTATTGAGAGGACCATGTGGTTCTTATCCTTTCTTTCATTAATGTGTGTATCACGTTGATTTATTTGGGGATATTGAACCACCCCTGCAGCCCAGGAATAAATCCCCCTTGATCTTGGTGAATAATCCTTTTGATGTTTTGTTGGATTCGATTTGCTAGTATCTTGTTGAGAATTTTTGCATCCATGAGGGAAATTGGTTTGATAATTCTCCTTTTTAGTGGGGTCTTTGGTTTTGGAATCAATGTAATACTGGCCTCCTAGAATGAGTTTGGAAGTTTTTCTTCCATTTCTACTTTTTTGGAACAGTTTCAAAAGAATAGGTATTAACTCTTCTTTAAATGTTTGAATTTCCCTGGGAAGCCATCCAGCCCTGGACTCTTGTTCATTGAGAGATTTTTGACTAGTGATTCAATTCTCTTACTGGTTATGGGTCTGTTCAAAATTTTTATTTCTTCGCATTTCGGTTTTGGTAGTTTATATGTTTCTAGGAATTTATCCATTTCTTCTCAATTGCCCAGTTTGTTGACATATAATTACTCATAATATTCTCTTATTATTGTTTGTATTTCTGTGGTGTTGGTTGTGATATCTCCTCTTTCATTTGTGATTTTATTTATTTGGGTCCTTTTTCTTTTTTATAAATCTTGCCAGGGATTTATTGACTTTGTTAATTCTCTCAAAGGACCAGCTCCTGGTTTTGTTGCTCTGTTCTCCTGTTTTGTTTTGTTTTTCGATGTCACTGATTTTTTTTTTTTTTTAATGTTTATTTTTGAGAGAGAGAGACAAACAGAATTTGAGTTGGGGAGGGGGAGAGAGAGGGAGACACAGAATCAGAAGCAGGCTCCAGGCTCCGAGCTGTTAACACAGAGCCCGACGTGGGGATTGAACTTACAAACTGTGAGATCATGAACTGAGCCAAAGGTGGACGCTTAACTGACTGGGACACCCAGGCGCCCCTCAATATCATTGATTTCTGCTCTAATCTTTATTATTCCCTTCTTCTGCTGGTTTTGGTCTTTATTTGCAGTTCTTTTTCCAGCTCCTTTAGGTATAAGTTTAGGCTGTGTATTTGAGACATTTCTTCCTTCTTTAGAAAGACCTGAAT